GCCCCATGCCTGAGCGGAATTCTTCGCGGCTTTCAATCGGACCTCCGACTGGAAGAGTTGCGCCGCAGCAACCATGGACACCTCGTCGATGAAGCACGCGAGAGCACACTCCCATCGATCTCGATGCTGTTCTAAGACAGATCGGGTCAAGCGGCCCTTCTTGCCCGTCACGGTGACGTTGCCGAACGGCAGCTTGCAGAGAGCGTGCAGCGTGTCACCCTTGAGAAGCCTCGCGGCGGAGTTCGACGGCGCGCACTTCTGAACCGTGTCGGGTCCGTTGAAGTAGCAGATCACCGCTTCCACGACTCTCAGCACCGCCGTCTTCCCAGTACCGCCTGGACCCATAAGAGCCAACTGAAAACCATCGGCGAGTGAAGGGCGTCCAGTTGCCGTTGGGCCCGTGGGCTCATCGAAGCCCCACCTGCGGTTCATGACATCTTGTAGCCATGCCGCGTTCCAGAGCAAAGCGCGGGCCTGTTTGACGTTCACGCGCTCCATGTCCACTACATCCAAGACTCCATTATGCAGAAGGTGTAGGCACGCGTCGACCACTGCCGTCCTCGTGCGCGGAGGTACAGGGGGGAACGTCGACGCGTCGCCGGTAGCCATTGCAGCGCGAAGTCGTCTCTCAAGTGCATCGGGTGCTGGCTGCGGGGACTTGTGTCGATGAAAGTGAGAGTCTGCTTTCCAAGCGTCCACCATCTTGAAAAACTCTGATTGCCGGTCTGCCGCTGCCAGCGACGCGGCGGGGCGCATGCAAGTTGCGTCGCTGGCCACAGTACAATCTGGCGGCCGCTCCGCAGCGCGCAGTCGGTCCGAGTTGTCCCGCATGAATTCGGCGATGTATTTGGCCTCTGCTGCCTTGCTTTTCTGCCACGTTTCCGGGGCGATGACGTCGTCCATTTCAATGCCTTCAGGGAAACTGCCGCAGAGCACACTCGTAGGATCTTGCGCGCGGAATGGTCGGCGAGGCAGTTCATCCGTGGCTTCCTCGTCGTCCATGGGTACGTCGGCTGGATTGCCGTTGTCGTCGTCGTCAGATTCCATCAGGATCCGACCAGCCCAATGGGCGGAGGTGGTCGAGAGCGCTTCCTCTGTCAATCTCGTCTTCCCATTCGGAGAGGGTTCAAGAAAAGGCAGGCTCAAGAAGGCCCAAGAGGCCCTTAGGAGCTTCCAAGATGGCCTCACAAGGCCTTCGAAGGCCCGAAGAGGCTTCAAGTGTCTCTCAGGAAGCATCCAAAAGCTTCCCAAGAGGTTCAAAAGCTTGTTCCAAGATGGCTGCAAGAGGCCTCCACGATGCCTCACAAGAAACCCACAAACTGCCTCCAAGCTGCTTCCAACACGCTGCGATTGGTCGCCCATCACTGGCCGTCCGTCTACGTCGTCGTAGTGGTCGTCGTCATCATAGTCGTCTTGGTCGTCGTCCTTCACCACACGCATCCGGAGAGCTCCGGATCGGCTGCACTGGCCGGAGGCCAGCACATTGTGTTACTGTATCGGTACTCTGGCCAGCTCTCTTGGCCAGGGTTTTTGCATGAGCTGGTTCGGGATACGCGAAGCGTGATGAATAGGTGGGTCGTGCGTCGCAGCGTCGGCGTTGCTGGCGGCGGCGCTCGCCCACTGTGGCAGGTGTGGCATCTGGACGCTCGAAGGGCAGGCATCTCTGACTGTCTCTCTCCTGGAGGAAGCGAAGTCGTAGTTCCGAATAGTCTCTTCCACCCTGCGCGCCCACCAAGCGTCGGACAATGGTTGCGTGGTAGAGGTGCACTGCATGGCGGCTTCTCGCCGCGACGTCTCCCACTTGTGGAATTCGTTGACGACCGCTTTCTGGAACTCCTCCTCGCCGTGGATCCACGGGAGCTGCGCAGCGCGATGGACGAAGTCGTGGAAAGTTCGGAACGGTCGGAAGAGGATCATGATGTGCACGACGTAGAGGAACCATTCTTCCAACAGATCTGCGCTCTGCGGTCTGCCTGGTAGTTTGCCGTAGAGGATCGGCACCTTCCACGGCTTATGCAGGCGCACGGAGGCGTAGTACGCGTACTGATACAGGATCGGTCCGTGTGGTTCGGCAGACGTAGGGTGGCCCCGGAGCGGAACTTTGTCATAGGTGGCACTTACCACGGCTGTGGCTGTCCTCTGGCGATGGGCGCCGTCTTCGCGCCATTGCAGCGAGCCTGGCGGCGGCTTCTTCTGAACTGACGCCTTTGCATCGCAAGCAGCAACGAAAAAGTACAGCGGGAAGTGCTCCATCTCATCCGGCCTGTGCGCGTAATCGAACTCGTCGAGGAAGTTCCTGGTCGAGGTAATTGGCGTAGTGTAAGGTCGGGCACGTTTCGTGTCTGCGTGGATGTCGTCGCCACGTGATGCGGCGTACAACACGTTGCGGATGCCAGCATATAGCTTGCCGAAGAACACGGGGACGAAGGTATGGCTACTGTACACGATCGGTTTCCCCAGCAAGTAGCTGATCATTTCGGGGAACCCTTTGTGCATTCTGTTGTTCGTCGCGGCAACCAGTGTATGCAGCAACTTCCTGGCTTTCTCATGCTCGTCCACCTCCGCTGAAGTGCTTGCTGCGCGCGCGGCGCGTTCCTTCCTCTCCAGGGAAGCGGCTAGCGTCAGCTTCAGTCCATCCGCGTGCGGCTGTGCTTTCGATGAGTATGCCGAGGTGTAGTACTCGTGGTCACCCATGGCCTCCGCCATAGCAGTCTTTATTTCATGTACCTTGCATTCGTCTGGAGGCCCGTTCCCGGTCGAGGGCAAGTCGCAGAGGCGTAAAAGGACGGCCAGGTCATGATTGCACTGAGGTCCCAGCATGATAGCGGGGTTGAGCCGGAAGTGGAAGGGGTGGTTCGTTTCTAGGGCGGGCAAGCCGACGTTCGGCGGGCACCGCAGAATGGGCGGCGGGCCCTGACCATCCCAGCGAGCGTGGAGTTCCAAGCCATGCTGCCGTTTGGCGACCTCTCTGCCACTCTTCTCGTCGCAGTGCCGAGCCCAGTGCCAGTAATGCATACGACAGAACCCTTTTTTCCCAATGCGTCCTTTGTAGCACACTGCGGGTTTGCATACGTGGTTGCCTGTCTTGCGTGTCCGAGAGAAAACCTCTTGGACAGCGCGCGCAGCCCATTGCCCATTGTCAACGCTGGAGTCGGACGAGAACGACGTTGGGAAGAACGCAGAATCTGGGACGTCGCCAATGCACGCAGTTGGTTCGACAGCTCCTCGACTTTGCTGCTGGGCGGTGTTGCTGGCAGCAGCACGGACACTTCCAATTTTGTCCCGCTGCGACTTGGTCAGCGGCAATAAAGGCAACCGCCGCAAAGCATCCATCCCAAGCGGTGAACCCGTGTAGTGTGCGAAGGCCTCCGTGCTGCGGAAAGTGATGGAAGCCACGTAGTGCCAAGTCCGCTTGAACGTGGTCTGCAAGTCGTCGTTTCGAAACAGGTCGTCTGGGTGCGAGAATCCGAGCAATCCGCCGCCGCGCTCTGGCGGCTATAGCGCGCGGGGAGCGCGCGACATTGTCGGCACGGGCATGCCGACTTACACGGGAGCTTTACTCTGGCCAAGGGGGTGTGGCGCCAGGTTCGGCGCGCGCGGCGGAACCGCGGGCCCGGGGAGCACATGACAGGGCCGCGCACTGGAAGGCGAGACCCGTATCCGCAGATCTACGGCTTCCACCGAAAAAGCTGGTCCTGTGGATGACGATCGGGCGTGCCAAGGCGCCTGGGAGGTCCCCGTTCCGACGTTTTCATAGACCAACGACGGAATGTCCCTGGGTGCCCGGATGCCGAGACGTGAGTAAGTCGACTTCCTGGGGGGTGCGGGAGAGGAGGAGGGGGGAGGCGGGAGTGCCGAAGGCAATTGCATTGAATGAGCATGTGGACGTGAAGAGCTTTGCGCATTTGTTCTTCCACGACGCCCAAGTGCGCCCTGACGTGGCCAAAGATGCCCGGCAAAGTGTTCGCAGCGATGCCATCGCAGTGGAGGTTGTCGGGGGTGTCAGTACAATTAAATAAAGTGCGCATGACGAGGCGCACTGTCCAGTGGAAGACACGCGCGGCGATGAGCGGGTCCTGCGACACGAGGGTGTGCAAGGCTCGCGGGTCCGCCTGGTTGAAATCGGCCATCCATTCTGCGGCCTCAGTCTCGCTCATGTCAAGAGAGAACTCACGGGCAACGGTAAGGTCGCCTTGCGTCAGAAGGACGGTCCGGGGGCTCCGAATGTCGCGTGGGTTCAGTGTGAAAAATAAGGATGAGCACCCAGACCAGACGCGCAGAGCTCGAAATCGCCATATGAATCCGTCCCGTTTTTCGGCGGAGCCCCGGACGCGTCGGAGCACGAGGTTCATCCTCTGGGCGGCGTTCCGGACGACAGGATCGAGACCTTTTTCTCTGAGAAGCTCGCGGACGCTGGTGGCGTCGCCTGCTGCGGCGGCAGAAGAAACGAGGCCTTCGGCCGTGAGCTTCGTGAGTGCCTGGGCTTCGTCTGCCGTCATGCCAGTGACCCCACCGTGGCCTGTGGATTTGACGTGGGCCTCCACGTTGGCCATCTGGTCCCGCCGCAGGAACGCGTTGAAAACGGTGGCTACGAATTCCACGTCTCGCCGCCAGCACGTCGTATCGGCCCGAGTGAGCAAAGCCTTCGCCCATTGGGCAGAAGGAAGGCGAGTCGTTCTCCGCGGGCACGTCTCCTGACAGTCCCCGCGCGGGAAAAGGCGGACGAAGCAAGCGCCCCAGAACGTTTCCGTCCGGGATGACACGAACTGATCGCCGTGAGCGATTTTCACCGGCGGCATCTCGGACTTCTCTCCCGCGGCCCACTTTTCCAATTCCTTTCGGACATGGGCGCTGGACATCCGCTGCATGGTGTCAACTGCTTGGGCGAGTGCCTCGTTGTGCCGCATCTTCTTGTGGGCGCGTGCGGACGGGTCCGTGTCGCTGGAAAGCTTGCTGATCTCGTCGTGGAGGCGCTGTGCCACTTCGAAGTTCTCCATGACTTACGTCCAGAGTCGCAATGACGTAACGTCGTCCATGCCACCATTCACCACTGCTGCACTAGTGTCCTCGCGCACATCACTCTGGTCGTGAACGGGATCGGTGCCATCTCCGCAATCAGCAGGCCCCTCTGAGGCCACGGAGGCTTTCGCCGCAGATGCCGGTGTCGCCGCAGCGAGCACCTCCCTTGGAACGCCTTCGGTGCTCCCAATACTTGTCTTGTAAGCGTCCAAGAGGTTTTCGAACACAGCGTGCAAAGTACCGTCGCGCCAAGTGTCGTGGTGCCTGGTGGCGAGCATGAATGCCCAGTTGTTCGAGGAGAGCCATCGAAATGCGTCGCGCAGGCGCCTCACCGACACTTGCAGTTCGGGGTGTCGACGGAGATCGTCGGTTACGGCGCCTACGAACTGCACCAGCATGGTCTGGGCCAGCGCGGCTGGCAGCATGCCCAGAGCCGTCGGCGCAGCGTCAGGGCTCTGCGGGTAGGCTACGACGTTTCCCTGGTGGTACGTCGGCGCCGTGGATGTAGCCGTCGGCGGCGTCGCTCGTGTCGGAGGAGAGGATGCCCTTGCGGTAGACCAACCACCTGCAGTCTGGATTCCCCGTCGGCGAGGAGATAGAGTCGGCCTCCAAATCGGCTCTCACAGCGGCCGCCCAGCAGCGCACTCGTTCTAGCCAGCTTTCCGCTGCAGCGGTACTTGCGAACCCCAGGGTGCTCTCTTCGTCCTTTCGGCAAGCGTCCACGTTTTCCTGTGCTTCGTGTAGGCGGTCGGCTACGCAGAAGATAATCTCCATGTGCCTGTCGATGCTGAACACATTGTCCAATTGGGCATACCATTCCGCTTTGTGCGTGGTCCAGGTGTCGGCGGGCCAAGACAGCCATTCGGGGCACTCTTCAGTCGATGGCGTTGGTATGTGCACTCGCTGTAGTTTGCATCGTCGTTTCTGCCGTGCGCAGATCGCGCACGGTGCCAAGGCGTAGCTGTCGTCGGTCATGGCGTCCTTGAAAGCGGCCAACCGTGCCCGAACGATCTGGGGACTGATTGGAGTGGGCCATGTCGCTAAGGAATGTTGTAGCACGACGCGCCGATATGACTCCAGTACATCACCGGCAGGATCGATCAGATCGCTGTGCACTTCGCACAGGTGCGCTGATAGGTGGTCCGCTGGCACTGTCGCAAGACACAATCGGCAATGGTCTGGGTCGGTGAATTCCGCTGTGGTTTGGTACGGCGGTAAGGCTGCATATGGAGCATCGTCATTCGTGATCCACTGCAACGCAGGCTCTGCGCCCGACCACGTTTGCGCTGGTGGCAGAGAGTCCAGGTACGATGCACTTTCGTCCTGCACCAATTTAGAAAGCACGGCTGGCGACTGCCCCGCGAAACAGGGCCTGCAACAGTGCATGTAACTCCTTTCGTTCCGTGCTGGTCTCTCTTTGCATATGATGCATACGTCCCCGGCCAGGGTCCAGCACGTGTCGCACAAGGCAGCGGAGTCTTGGAAATGCGTGGAACACAGATTGCACAGACGGACATACCGAGGGCAATTCGCCGATGCGCACGGTAGCCGCGCAACCACCAGTTCTTGTTCAGTCACAGGATCTACCGTCCGATAGCAGTACCCGCAGGCGGGGTCGTCAAAGTGTCGTCGGCACAGCCCTGATTGCCGTTCTTCGTCACTGGTGTGCGTTGGGCACCACAGGGCGAGGTCGTCGCACATGGTGCAGCCAGCGAGTGGTGCGTTGGGAGGTGGTAGCTGCCGGCACACGTCGCAACAACGTTTAATCGCACACGTCCAGCAAGACCGTTCGTTGGTGTATTGTGTGTGTGCTGTGGTCGTGGTGCAGTATCTACACAGGCGCCCTTCTGCAATCCAGCACGTTTTACACGTGTCTTTGACAGAAGACGTTGCGCATGTAAGACATAAAGAAAATGACGAGCGGCACGCGGGCGTCGAGCATGTCGCATTGGTGACAGAGGCACTGGGGACCGGCGCGCAGCACAGCGCACACGAGATGGTCGTGGACGCACACGAATGGCACAGACCCAGGGCGCGCTCTTCGGCAGTGGTGTGAGTGGGGCATCTCATTGCACACAATTTCGCAATTGCATGCGCCTTCGTGGTTCTATTGTCACAAGCAGTGCATCGCAACGGATTGCCTTCCTGGTTGAACCACGTGCAGCCGTCGACGTGGCAACTTCGTTGTCTGGCGCACGGCTTGCACATGGTTTTGTTCACAAGCTCGCGGGATAGGCCACAGAACTTGCACGTGGACTTCCGGGCCGCTTGCTTCTCGTTGTACGCGTCTGGGAAGAGCGTGCGGTAGCAGCCCTTGCAGTAGCCGTCGTAACCGGACTGGGCGAAAGGAGTAGTCTTCTTCGCCTCATGGCGTCCACGGCACAAGGGACGGTTGCCAGACATCAACGGTCGAGCAAAAACGCCGTATATGGGGAACTCTGGCCAGAACACGGTTGTTCACGGCGCGCGGGCGGATGCTCAGCGCCGGGTGTTGGTCACCAACGTGGCCGAGTTGGAGCCAAAAAACGACGGTATGCACATCTGGCGCGCACGCGGTCAGCTGTTGGAAACGACTTGCGTTCACCAACTGACGCACGGCGATATGCCAAATGATCGACTGTTTTTTTCGATCCGCCGCTGCGCATGGGTGGCAGTGCAGGCATGGGCGGTGTGTGCACCATGGCGGACCCCCCCGAGTTCTTGCACATGAGTCTAATTGCGTGCACTATCGTGTCTCTCGACGGACCGTGGGCGCTTGGAGGGGCTTCGGGAGGTGTTCGAAACCCTGAGTGCGGCGAAGCTCCCAGCCTCCAGAGATTCAGAGATCTTTCTTCCGAGCTCCAGGTGTGGTGACAATGCAACGGCATTCCTGGAGGCATCAAGATATCACAGAAGAGATCCCGAAAGTGATTCACGTCCCCTGAAGAACGTGAAGGGGCTCTAGAAGAAACGCTAACGAAGCGTTAAACTGTTTTCCAGAGGGCCCGAGAAGCTCCGACACTGGACGGATTGGGCGAAGCCCCAACCTGGCCCAAGCGGTCTTCCGGAAAGAATCAAGACAATCTTAAAGAGCATCATCATTTCGGTTATGGCTTACTCAGGCCACGGGACACGAGGTGTCACATGTTACGACTTGTTGTGCGGTGCTGGCGCAATCGCCAGGCAGGGTGCTGAGCTGGCATGGCGGCGGAACTTGCCGCAGGCAGCTGGAGTAAGCTGGAATGGATCTGGTAGCCTGGATCCACGACCATTGCTTCAAGTAGGAAAAAGGGGAGGAGGAGGATGAGGGGGAGGGCGGAAGAGGATGAAGAGGAGGGAGGAAGAGGAGGAGGAAGAGGAGGACGAAGGGCGGTGTCCTTTCACGGGGGGGTGAAGAAACGTGTCTCCGCGGCCCTCCAGGGGCCCACGCCTTTGTGACAGTACGCTTTTGGAAGTACAGATCAGCGCACGATTCACACAATCGGCTCACAGAGGCCTCCACGCGAAGGAACGCGTGTTGGACGCGCTCACGCCGCGGAATATGAATCAATACGTATGACCGGGCGTCATCAAGTCGAATCGCTCATCATGGATGTTTTACAAATTCGGATCACCAAAGAGGGCTGACTGCCACGCGTGCGCACGGAAGCGCGGCAACCATTGCCAGGACCCCCGCGAGCGGGGAAGGGTCGTTAGCCACGCAGCACAGCCACAAGCCATCTCAAAACGGGGGCTGCTGGACAACGCCAACCATGTACGGCAGGCTCCCGTCGCGACGACGTCGGCGCTGGCTTCTGAGACCGCGTGGATCGGTCGACCTTCAACGATCGGGACTTCTCGATGAGCCGGATCGTTCAACATATGACGATCCCGGACCATGGGCGGCGTTCCACCTTGAACGCCCGCGGCGCGGAGGAGGAGGGAGGGAGGACGAGGAGGAGGAAGAGGCGGAGGACGAGGACGAGGAGGAGGAGGAAGGGGAGGGGGAGGAGGAGGAGGTCCTCCCAGGGGCCTTCCGCCCCGGATCCGTCTCCGACGGAGGAGGAGGAGCAGCAGGAAAACGCCAAAGAGGTAAGTCCGGGCATCGACTCGAAATGAAGTCCAAGGGCCAAAGGAATGTGGCATCGCATGCCGCAAACCTTCATGGGATGACTGCGACGGTTGGCGATGTTTTTTTCACGTTGCGCATTGGGAACACAACAGCCCTAGGAGGCAGGCCGGTTCAAGGTCCCACCTCTTGTTGTTCTGTTTTTTGGTTAGGGGCTGCTCTTTAAAATGCGGGTGATGCTCCGCGCCGCCATCACAAAACAAAGCTACGCGCAGGCACCCAACAGAAAGAGGCACGGTGTGACAGAACTCCAATTCTGATTGTGTGCGGAACGGGGTTCGCCCGTGCGACGTCGTGAAGTGATACTACTAGGGCTACCGAGAGAAGCAGTCTTCGGCCGATAAGGGTGTTTTTTTGGGGAAAGGTCAGGGGGGGTCGATTTGCGATGGCTCTTGGTTCTGTGGTGTCTTCGTGCCTATCATTGTCGCGCACATCTGCCCGTCTGTCTATCTTTGTATATATCGATTTCCCTTTGTACTATTGTTCGAAATCCCTATCGTATTACGTATATGTATCAATATATCTAGACATGATTATATGTATGCATGTATGTGTACATGCTTGTATATACATATATATACACCTGTCCATAAACCGGTCGTTCAAAACGTAGCCATATATATATATATATCAAAATATGTATTCACACATACATTTTCGACTACTATGTTTGTATATGTATATGTCAACCGGGACATCCATCAAGATAAACATGACGGCACCCATGAAGGCAACCATCGGGGCAAGCATCGGGACAACCAGGAGTACAAAATCGGGACAACCATCGGGGCAAACATCGGGAGAACCATCGATACAAACGTCGGAACAACCATCGGGACAACCATCGGGGCAACCACCCGCACAACCATCGGGGCAACACCATCGGGGCGACGAACAGGACAACCATCGTGACAACCGTCGGGACAAGCATCGGGACAATACGTATCAATCGGGACAACCATCGGGAGAACCATCATATCGGGACAACCATCGGGACAACCATCGGTACAACCATCGGGACAACCATCCGGGCAACCATCGGGACAATCATCGGAACAACCTGCGGGACCCATCTGGACAATGATCGGATCAACCATCGGGACACTCATCGGGAGAACCATTGGGACAACCATCCGAAACAACCATCGGGAGAATTATCGGGAAAACCATCGGGACAACCATTGGGACAAGCATCGGGTGAACCTTCGGGACAACCATCGGGAGGTTCATAAGGAGGCCCATCGGAACAACCATTGGGACAACATGTGGGGCAACCACCGGGACAACCATCGGGACAACCACCGGGACAACCATCGGGACAACCATCGGGAAAACTCCTATTGATCGGGACAACTATCAGGAGAACCGTCACATCGGGAGAATCGTTGTGTCCAACCATCGGGACAACCATCGGGGCAACCACCCGGACAACCATCGGGACAACATACAGGACAACTATCGTGACAACCATCGGGACAAGCATCGGGACAACGCGTAGCAATCGGGACAACCATCGGGAGAACCATCACATCGGGACAACCATCAGGCCAACCATCGGAACAACCATCGGGACAACCATCCGGGCAACCATCGGGACAACCATCGGAACAATCTGCGGGACCCGTCTGGACAATAATCGGATCAACCATCGGGACATTCATCGGGAGAACCACTGGGGCAACCATCCGAAACAACCACCGTCGGGACAACCATCGGGAGAACAATCGGGAGAACCATCGGGACAACCATTGGGACAAACATCGGGCAAACCTTCGGGACAACCATCGGGAGATTCATAAGGACACCCATCGGGACAACCATTGGGGCAACCAGTGGGGCAACCACCGGGACAACCAGCGGGACAACCACCGGACAATCATTGGGACAGCCATCG